CTTTTTTTTTTGTTTTGGGGGGGGGTTTTGTTTGTTTGTTTGGTGTATTTCTTTCTTTCTTTAAGGGGTGAAAGCAAATAAGAGGAAAACGAGAATGCTTTGGTGGCGAGTTGAGTAAAAGAGGGGATTTTAGTGCTACTGTCTGTGTGGTATAGAGAAGCTGGGGTAAAAGAGCAGAAAGGAAGTGGAAAAAAAGCATCACAGAGAAACAGTAAGTCTTTGTTACAAAAACACTTAGCACTTCTTTGGAAACAATCTTCTGTTAATGATACTGCAGTTAATTAAAAATGAACCTCAAAATTGCTAGGAGGAAACAAAAAGGTCCTAGTCATTTGAGAAAATGGTTGTCTTTTTTTTTTTTTTTTTATTACTTTGTATTACAAAGCACAGCAGTGATCTTGTTTCAGTTCAGTACATATCAGAAGCTGCATTTTTAAGCTGTGGTTACTGTTCAGCATCTCAGTTTCTTTACTTTTATGCACTTAGCTGGGAGAGGGTCATACCAGAAATCTGAGTTGCCTGTTTACTTTCCAGATCAAAGTAGGAGAAGTTTATAGGAGAAGTTATCCAAAATAATTTGAAGGGCGTGAGATCAGCCCAACCTGATAAAGGCATTTGTTCTGTGTTGCTGGTTAGAGGGAATTGCTAGTTTGACACCTTTACCCTGTTGTGTTGCTGGGGTAGGGTTTGGCAAAGTGTGGCTTGGGGAGTTTGTGTGCTAAGAATGTTTGTGTCTGTTTAGTATATGTAATAAGCTGTCTTTTTTATTTGCCAGATACTTGTTTCGCAGATGTGTAATGCAAATTCCATGAGAAGGGAAAAGATAACCTTGTGGCTAAAGTATGTGATTGAAAAGAACCATTTAAATTTGTCCTTGCACTCAGCAGGTTTAGTGTGGGACACATCACTGTACTACTGTGCCTCCATTTCCTTTGTTTTTAGAAGGGATACTCCCCTTGTTAGTCATGCTGAGAATAAAGTCATTAATGTTTACCTGGTGCCTTGAAATCTTAAAAAGGGACATGCATCTTCTGTTTTCTAGTTACTTTGTCCTCTAGAAGTACATGGTGGGGAGGTGCAGTCAGTCAACTTTGGTAAGTTCAGGTCAGTGCTAATGTATTAGTTCCTCTTGCTACATGAATCTTACAACATGGTTCGTAGTGGAGAAATTGTAGTATGGTAAAATATAAGTAAATATTTAAAAGATTGGTGCCAGTAGTGAGTAGTGTTTAACTCTGTGGTGGGTTGATGCTGGCTAGATGCCAAGTATCCACCAAAGCCGCTCTATCACTCCCCTTCTCAACTGGACAAGGGAGAGAAAATGTCACGAAAAAGCTCCTGGGTCAAGATAAGGACAGGGAGCTCACTCAGCAATTACTGTCACAGGCAAAACAGACTTGACTTGGGGAAAATCAGTTTAATTTATTGTCAATCAAAGCTGAGTAGGGCAATAATAAGTAAAACCAAATCTTAAAACACCTTCCCCCCACCCCTCCCTTCTTCCTGAGCTCAACTTCGCTCCCAATTTTTCTCTACCTCCTCCCCACGAGCGGTGCAGGGGGGTGGGGAATGGGGGTTGTGGTCCATTCGTCACACGTCATCTCTGCCGCTCCTTCCTCCTCAGGGGAGGACTGCTCACTCTCTTCCCCTGCTCCATCCTGGGGTCCCTCCCACAGGAGACAGTCCTCCACGAACTTCTCCAATGTGAGTCCTTCCCACGGGATGCAGTTCTTCACAAACTGCTCCAGCGTGGGTCCCCCACTGCGTCACAAGCCCTGCCAGCAAACCTGCTCCAGCGTGGGCTCCTCTCTCTCCCTGGGGCCACAGGTCCTGCCAGGAGCCTGCTCCAGCGCAGGCTTCCCATGGGGTCACAGCCTCCTTTGGGCACATCCACGTGCTCCAGCATGGGATCCTCCACAGGCTGCAGGTGGATATCTGCTCCACCATGGACCTCCGTGGGCTGCAGGGGCACAGCCTGCCTCACCATGGTCTTCGTCACAGGCTGCAGGGGAATCTCTGCTCCTGTGCCTGGCGCACCTCCTCCCCTTCTTCTTCACTGGCCTTGGTGTCTGCAGGGCTGTTCCTCTCACGTATTCTCACTCCTCTCTCCAGATACAGTTTGTGTTCCCTTTGTTTTTTCTTGCTTCCCCTTCTTAAGTATGTTATCCCAGAGGTGCTACCACCATTGCTGATGGGCTCAGCCTGGCCAGTGGTGGGTCCATCTTAGACCCAGACAGTTTTGGGTCTCTTGAACATAGGGGAAGCTTCTAGCACCTTCTCACAGAAGGCACCCCTGTAGCCCCCTCACTACCAAAACCTTGCCACACAAACCCAATACAAACTCCCATATAAGGTGCTGTAAAATTAACATTAACCAGACCTACAGTTCTATAGATGCAAATCTCTACTTTGTATTTCATCACAGGAAAATGTTTTAGAATGCGTTGTGATGTGTGTGACACCACAACTTGACATTTGGGGAAGTAACTCTCTGTTTCAGTTGTATAGAACTTAAAAAAAAAAAAACCCAAAACAAAAACACCACCACAAAAAACCCCAGCCTTGAATTGGCTTTTGTTTAAACAGTATTTCAGCAATACTTTTATCAGCATCAGTGTTTCCATTCTTCTTTTTCTCCCCTTAGGGTGTGATAGCTGTAGAAAACCTGTTGACACAGATGCAGTACAGTATTGCAGGAAACACATACGGCACACACAAATCTATATTTCTTGCTTTTCCTTGCCTTCTGCCATCTTCTCATTTCCCCTTTTAATATTTCTTACTCTTCCCTTTTGTTGGTAGTTTCCTCCTTTTACTTACATAAAACCTTGAAAATTGGTGGGTGATGGTTTAAAGTCGCCAGAGTCGTCAGTGTGCAGTTCTGTCTCGCATTTTTCTGTCATCTATGTAAGAAAGCCAAGGAGAAGGGACAGTACTCTGTCACCCATCCGGTTTTGTCATCTCTTGGGGTTTTTTTTTGGTTGGTTGGTTGGTTTTGGTTTGGGGTTTTGTTTTTTTTTTTTTTTGACTTCTCCCCAGCTGCAGTTCAGACACTTCATTCTGAAGCTTTTAGATCTAGGACACATTACTGTCTACTGTCCTTGTTCATCATTTCCATATGGGTAACAAATAGAACAGAGGTTTCATCCTTTTTAGCTGTTGCCACAGTGCAGGTATTTAGTTTCTGAGGCAAAGATCTGAGAAGTGTTGAACCTTTTATGTCTAGGAAATGGCTGCTGTGTGAGAGAGAGAACCAGTAAAGCCAAATTGAAATTCTGTGGTGTTGTTAAAAAAATAAGAAAAATCATATATACAGTGCCTACATGCCTTTGGCAATCTAGAAAGTTTAGACGGATTAATTTTATGGTTATATTTTTACATACATGTAGCCTCAAAAAGGCCTGAGACAGAGGACTGCAGAAATGTTTTTTATTAGTTATGCCTTGGTAAATACCACTTCATAAACGTGCTGTGGCATGGCTCTTGCTAGGGAATATCCAGAGGTATTTGAAAACATCTTTTAAGAGCTACCCCAAGACTGCAGGATATGCTGCAAAATGGCAGCTCATACAGTTGAGTACCATCCTCCTTTCTCAAGCCTGTCAGCATATATACGTATAGACTGACATTTCTAAAGCCCTTAAGTTAACTTTCTAAAATGATCACTGTTGTGGGTAGGCTTTTAGATACTGGGGTAACGAAGACTACATCCAGCAAAAAACAGGCAAAAAATTTCTAGCAGTGGTTCTTCTTTACAGAAAGGTAAAGGCTTTTTCTTGAGACATAGGAAACCTACTCTGTCATTACTCTGTTCTCCCCATATAATACACTACATCAGATTTTGTGTATGCACACTTCATTGCACAGTACTAACCTTAAGCAGTAAGTTCATCAGTTTTTCTGAGGATATAAAATAGCCTGGGCTGAGTGTGGTGTAAGTAATGTATTGTCCCGATGGACCAAATACTGCTTCAATCACAAGTTAATCTATACAAACATGTAAAGTATTGCGTAAGAACCTGAAATACAGCTACATACTTAAGATATTTAAAAGTAAACAAACGTACATACTTAACACTTCAGATATTTAAAAATAAACAATGCAGAACAGTCTGCATAATACATTTCTCCACTGAGTTCAGTGGACTTCAGCAGTTCAGCTAATAAAATTATGTAAGATACATGTTTCTTCTACTGTATTCATCTTACACTTTATGCTCTTGAAATGTTCCTTTATGGAATTTTTTAAAAAAACGTTTATAGGGATGCTGCTTTTGCAGTTTATGCAATTAAATTTGTACCTCTCTGCAATACAGTTGTCTTTTCTTGGCTTGGATGCTGCTGACAGTCTCTTCAAAACTGCCCTATTAAAATAAATGTTGCTCACTTACTGGAATTGTAAACACCGTAGCTTATTTTAAGCATCTGAACAGAACAGCATGTCAGTTATACATTCCATAAATAGGGCTTGGTGACCATTTGACATTTTTCTTAAATGCAATGATTTCTGTGCTACTGCATTATTTTCTGAATTAGTAACAACTACAAGTAAGTATGAGAACATGTTGCAGACATTGGGCATTGTTTTGTTTCTTTATTCTTTGCTTAATTGTGTATCATTTGACAAATATGATATTCTTAATAACAATATATACAACACGTCTGAGCGTGTTGGGGTATATGACTGAAACAACATTTTGCCTCGGATATCAATGGCAACGCTTCAGTTGACTTCCATGATGAGCTATGAAGACCATGTTAGGTGTGCACAAGAGGCAGCGTACATTTAGCTGATCAGTTGGCCCACTTCCTTCAGAACCTGTGCTGCTGGGTTGAGTCTTTTCCTCATGATTTTCATTGACAGAGGCATAGCGCAAATTCATTCAGCAAGCAGCTTTAAGGGTTAAGGAAAGGAATTTGTTTGGATTTGAGGGCTGTATGTGTATGCTGTGTTTAGAAGGCATGATACTGATACTGTTTGTTTGGGTCTTTTTAGGGCAGGTTAAAGTGTTCAGAGCCCTGTACACATTTGAGCCCCGGACGGTAAGTACATCTAGATTTTAGGTTTTTGAGGAGCTTAATTTTTATCTTGTCTATAATAACACATTTTCAGTTCTGCTGTGATTGGCCTATTAGACTTACTGTACTATGTTTTCAATGAAAAAGCTTCTTGATGGGTATCGGTTCTTAATGTGACTAAAACTGCCTGATTAATCATCACTCTCCTTTTTTAAGTTCAGCTCTCTTCAAAAGCAGCGTGCTTTCTTCTGTAGAATCAGTTACCAGCAATCTAAGATGAGCAATCTAAGTGATTTTTTCCTTTTCTTCCAAAGGCAACAAAGAATTGAGAACTAAGAGATTTGATGAACTGGTACCAACCAAGAAGGGGGTGAAATTAACAAGCATAAGATGTATTTCACTGCTTTTGTTGCACAGTGCTCTGCTGGAAAGGCCACAGTCTTTTTCTTCAGTTGTCAGGAAGGTCACAGATCCAAAAAGTTAGCTGTAGACAAGTCAAACTGCAGTGTGAAAGACTGTCAGGCTGTTATCTAGTTCCTAGAGAATTAGAGTTGGTGTTCTTTTGAAAGATGAGCTGAATGTACTCTGCTTTATCCAGGCATTTGTATGTAAGTACACACATTGAGGTTTTATTTACACTTCCTTTTTTAATTTTTTTTTTGTAGCCAGATGAACTGTACTTTGAAGAAGGAGATATTATTTACATCTCAGACATGGTGAGTCTAAGACATCCCATACAGAAGAATACTTCTGAGATGCAGCATATCCCTTCTAAAATATTTTCCCTTTCCTCTGCAGAGTGATACAAATTGGTGGAAAGGAACTTGCAAAGGGAGAACTGGACTGATTCCAAGCAACTATGGTAATGTCTAGAATATTTTCATCACTAAATAAAAATAACTGATACACTTATTTTCAAAAACTGATCACAGTATTGGCATTTAACAGTCCTCTACCAGAGTATTTCAGGATACATCTGCAGTATCAGTCACCACTACATCAGCAGTGGACAGGCTGTCTTACGTTTTTATAGCCTAGAGACAGCTTGAGTTTGCCAGGTGTTCATGTTTCTGGGTGTGCAGGTAACAGCAACACATGTTCTCAGTTTTGAGGGGAAGAACACCTGGTTCTAAAGGATGGTGTTACAGACAGCACATGGAACCAATAGGCCTGTATTCTTGATACCCTCAATGAACGTGTTGCAGTTTTTAAGATCTTCTCATGAGCAGTATCTTGGCTATATTCCTTCAGTCCGTGTGTTGCCTTTTTTTTAAATAGACCTAAGGATGGACAGCCGCAGCCTTTAGTAGCTTTGAGATCAAGTAGTCTGACACAGTGTGGGGTGGCTTCTTACAGACATAGATAAGCAATACTGGAATTGTTAAGTGAATTTGCATATGGACAGGAAACTAAAGCAGATTGTGAGCAGTTCTGTAGACCTCCTTTGATTCCCCTCCCCCCTTAAGAAATGGGGCTGTTTTGTTTGCCCTTTGTTGCTTTTTAATGAATATATTCAGCCACAGAAAACATCATTTTCTTGGGGATTGCACCACATTAAATATCCCATACCTGTTTGGACTAAATAGAAATTGCTCTTTCAGGTTCAACTAAAATACTTTGAAAAGCCATGAGTATAGACAACATAGCACCACTCTTCCAAGTCCTCACAGGAAATGTAGGCAGAGTAGCAGTGTCACATGACAGATTTTGTCAAAACTGCTAATATGTTCGTAACTGTGGTTGCTTCATGTTGTCCCTTTTTCACTGGGAGACATTATGGTAGCAATGCTATGATTCCCTGCCCTTGTAGTTAGTAGAAATACATGAATAGAAGCCTGTGGTGCAGTTATTGAGACCATGGCATCAAATTTCACTTCAGTTTGTGATTTCCAGACTGATTCTGCTCTTGCCGTCTGCCAGACATGGTCACTGTTATATACAGGAATAATACTTTACACATGCTCATCTACACTCAAGTTTCTTTTGAACATTGAAGTGTGTTACATTTAAAATAAAAACCAAGAACTTACTAATTCAGTTTGTGTTCCCATTGAGATAATTTGAAAAAGTTTCTTCCAGAGTGCTTTACTAAAAAGTTATCTGAGCAACAGTTCAACTTCCATTTTAGGCAGGGCAGACAGGTGTTGGGTAGTGGTGTCTCTGCACATTTGCAGAAATTTCATGTGTAAGCAGAACGGAAGCCTCTGCGGACCATGAGAACGAAGAGTACCACGATCATGTTTAGACAAACTGTGCAAAATTCCCAAAGGCCTGCTGCTACTGGTTGCCACCATTAGGACTGTCTAGGTTCAGTCTTAACCATGGAAACACTGTGATCTCCTGTGCTCTTCTGCAACCTTTTTGCAAAAGGTGGAGACAGACCTGAAACTACTGAGTCTCTGGTGGGGTCTTGTGGTCCATCTGCTGGACTTGAATGAACACATTTAAAAAGACTGTGAATGTAAAAGCTAATTACGACAGAATCAATGTTATCTGCATTAAAAATACTCACTACTAAACTTCTGACAAGCATTTTCTAAAGACAAAGTTATTTTTAGGCTGTTGAGACAGTGTCGCTAGTTTAAATGCTTTCTGCTGTGCGCAACAACTGCCGAATATGACAAGCATGTTCTGTTTGTGTAATGGCTGTCTGCTCTGGGACTGGCTTCTCCCACTCTGCTTTAGGATTCTGTTCACTGTTTGCACAAATTTTTTTAAACTGAAATATCAGAATCTAGCATTTGTGTTTTATTTTACTCCCAGCTAGAGAGATAAGCATGTGAAATCTTGCAATTACAAGAATTGTGACCTCTGGATGCAACCAGAGGGCAGTGGTCAACAGCTCAATGTCCAAATGGAGACCGATGACAAGTGGTGTCCCTCAGGGTCCGTACTGGGACGAGTGCTGTTTAATATCTTAATCAATGACATAGACAGTGGGATTGAGTGCACCCTCAGCAAGTTTGCAGATGACACCAAGCTGAGTGGTGTGGTTGACACGCCAGAAGGACACAATGTTATCCAAAGGGAGCTGGACAAGCTGGAGAGGTGGGCCTGTGTGAACATCATGAGGTTCAACAAGGCCAAGTGCAAGGTCCTGCACCTGGGATGGGGCAACCCCCGATATCAATACAGGCTGGGGGATGAAGGGATTGAGAGCAGCCCTGCAGAGAAGGACTTGGGGGTACTGGTAGTTGAAAAGCTGGACATGAGCCGGCAATGTGCACTTACAGCCCAGAAAGCCAACCGTATGCTGGGCTGCATCAAAAGAAGTGTGGCCAGCAGGTCAAGGGAGGTGATTCTGCCCCTCTACTCTGCTCTGGTGAGACCTCACCTGGAGTACTGCGTCCAGCTCTGGAGCCCTCAGCACAAGAAGGACATGGACCTGTTGGAGCGGGTCCAGAAGAGGGCCACAAAAATGATCCGAGGGCTGGAGCACCTCTCCTATGAGGCCAGGCTGAGAGAGTTGGGGTTGTTCAGCCTGGAGAAGAGAAGGCTGTGAGGAGACCTTATTGCGGCCTTCCAGTACTTAAAGGGGGCCTACAGGAAGGATGGGGGCAATCTTTTTAGCAAGGCCTGTTGTGACAGAACAAGGAATAATGGATTTAAACTCAAGAAGAATAGGTTTAGACTAGACATTAGAAAGAAGTTTTTTACAATGAAGGTGTTGAAGCACTGGAATAGGTTTCCCAGAGAGGCAGTGGAGACCCCATCCCTGGCAACATTGAAGGTCAGGTTGTATGGGGCTCTGAGCAACCTGATGTAGTTAAAGCTGTCTCTGCTCAGTGCAGGGGGGTTGGGCTAGGTGACCTCTAAAGGTGCCTTCCAACCCAAAGCATTCTGCAATTCTGTTCTATGATCTTGCAATTACAAGCATTATGGTAGAAATACACACCAAAGTAGGAAAAGATCCGGATAGGCCACAACAGTCTTGAGACTTTTATTTCTGGTAACTGACATACATTATATTTGCTTGCATTGCATCCGATTACAGTAACAGTTTGATGTGAGGAACACCCTTTCACATTCTCCCTGACTCCTGTAACAAGCCATAGTGCATGGGCTTAGAGAGGCCTTGTATAATCTCAGATTATACACTGTCCTACTTGCCTGTACCCTTAGTAGTCACAGGATTTTCCACCTAAAAAAGACGTTTTTAAAAAAGTTTCCAGACCATGGTCCCACTTCCAACTGTTCCACAGTGCTGTTCAGTTTCTTTTTGGTGTTGCAACAGCACAATGACCAGGAACTGATTGCTGCTCCTCTCTAGTAAAACCTAAAGCTTGTGAGATGAAGAAGGGGTCTAGAGAAGCCTGAATTTCAATCTGCCCATCAGTACATTCATTGTTTAAGCAGTTTTGACTTGCAGACCTCCTGCAAGTTTTCCAGGGAGAATAAAAAATATCTGCAAAACAAATAGGAAGCCTATTGACATTGGATTTTTTTTAGTTTAGACCCCTTGGAAATAATTCACTCATAACTACAGATGGCACACTGTAGGTTGAAAGCCTAGCCGCATGCAGCTGCTAAAAACCATCTTACAAGTGTAGAAAGGGATGAAATATTGCCAGATTCCCAGTGGCTTGCAACCACTGATCAATTTGATGCTGTTCTTTGAAGTTTTCACAGGCTCTTCTCTGAATTGCTTTCCCATACACAGGAAATTGAAGCGCATCTGACTAGTCCATCACTCACAAATCCCCTGTCACAATAGAATCAAATGTGTATTACTGGTTCTTCTGGTATAAATCAAAGTTTTATTTCTACAGAGGTGTCAAATATCTGTTCAGTTTCAGAAGTGGTTAGAATTTACTCTCTGTTTCATTTCAGTGGCAGAGCAAGCTGAGTCTATTGATAACCCACTGCATGAAGCTGCCAAACGTGGTAAGTGTGATTTGGGTTTTAGCTGTGTAATGCTCAAGGATGATTTGTTTTCTGCCAAAATAATAACATATTTAGAATGAAGGTATCCTGTCTGGTTTGGTTGTCTGGTGTCTTGAACAAGTTATCTGGTAAGTTTTGCAGCTTTCAGAAGCTGAGCTGATTTACAGACTGGTAGAATTGCCAGTCTGTGATTGCATATACAGAAAAAGAGTTTGGTACCATCCATTTAACTACATAAGGATCTACAGGTTTTCTGGGAGTGGAAGAAAAGATGTTTGGTATGATTTGAACTGGTTGTTTTATGAATTACAAGTGTTGCTACTAATCACTTTTTCTCCTCATAAGCTCATAGGAGGACTGATAACCTTCAGAGTGAACTATGTGCCTTTTATGGTTCTGTTAACTTTTCAAAGGAAAGAAAAAAATCATCAAAACTGAATTTGTCTTTCAGGTAACCTAAGCTGGTTGAGAGAGTGCTTGGATAATCGAGTTGGGGTCAATGGCTTAGACAAAGCTGGAAACACAGCTCTCTACTGGGCATGCCATGGAGGCCACAAAGGTATCAGAGAATTAATCTGAAATGACTGTTCTCTGGTTGTCTTGATTTGTTTGTTAGACTGATTGCTAAAATTGCAGCGCTAAATAGTAAAGCCAGGATTTTTTTTAATGTCATCCTAGTTTTTTTAAAAGAAAAGTTAAGGCTAGAGGGGAGGTTCAGCTCAATCAAATACTGTGTGTTTTGTTGAAGCGTTCTAATCAGCGTAACTGTTACAAGCAGAGTGGGAAGAAGGACAGACCAAAAAGAAGTGTTGTATTGTTTTGGGTATTTTTGCAGTAGCATTTCTTTGTGACCAATAGTTGTTTGCTCAGTGCAGTCTGACTGTTACAGATTTTCATTAGCTGGTTAGATCACTCTTTCATTGAACCTTAGACAAAATTTATACTATGAACACAAAAAAATCTATTTTGTTTCCACTAAATTTTTCTCTTTATTTCCCCCACCATGTTTTCTGCAGATATTGTGGATGTTCTGTTTACCCAGGCAAACCTAGAGTTAAACCAACAGGTAGGTTAAACCAACAGACCCTTACAGCAGAGGTGTGATGTTATTCATCCTTGGTACAAGCTGAAAGTTTTTTTGCTGTATTTTAATCCTGTTGCTTTTCCCTCTAACTCCACAGAACAAATTGGGAGACACAGCTTTGCATGCTGCTGCATGGAAAGGTTATGCAGATATTGTAGAGATGCTGCTGGCAAAGGGTAAAGATCTTCACCAAGGTTTCAACAATCTGTGTGGCAGACTAGATTCCTGAACGTTTATTAATCTGTATTTTTTTCAACTGTTTTCCTATAACCCAGGTACAGTCCTTAGCCAGCTTACATGCCTGACTTTATAAGCCTTGCAGAAAATTCTGGCAGCTGTTTGGAAAGTAGGCATCTTACCTGCTCAAGATAAATTTCATCCTGCTTTGCAGACAAAATTAGCCACTTAACCCTAGAACAGCAATGACATCTGCTTCCTGGAAAGGGAGAGCAGCCAGTGAGTTCCCTAGCCAACTGTAGCTTATGGAAGAGCATCCATAGCTTTTAGGCTGCTTCAGAGCAGTCCACAGATGAGATTCCCTTACTGTACAGGCTACTGAAACTCCTATCATAATACCATTGCTCAAGAAATAGCTGGGACAGTGATTCATGATGAAAATTTTCTATTATTATTAAGGGGCAAGAACAGATCTGAAGAACAATGAGAAGAAACTGGCTTTAGACATGGCAACCAATGCAGCTTGCGCTTCCCTGCTTAAGAAGAAACAGAGTGCAGGTATTTCTGATTTTGTTATTCTGATACATTTTTCCTTTTCAGAGGGCACTTAATATTTCAACAAAATACCAATATGTTGATAGTTATAAAAAACAGTTGGGAGCTACATGGGCTAAGAGCTGTATCTAGAAGGATTCACTTGCAAAGGTTAGTTCAGCAGAGCTATGAGTGAGACCTGTGGTTTATCACATTCAGTGTTGCTGACTCCACGCAAAATGCCGTCTTGTGTCAGCAAGAGGCAAAAGACTTCAGAATATGCGGAAATAGTAAGGAAAGGGAAGGAAATGGAGGACAGGCCCTTCAGAGTGGAGAGACAGAAAGCAAGCAAGCATGGAAACTACTTTAAAAGCAGTATACAGCAAAGGACAGGGTATGAGAGTAAAACAATGTGGTATATGTTCTCCCTTATGCCTGTCCTTTCTCCAAACTAAGCCAAACAAACACCAACAGACACTCCTTTCTTATTTTCTTATTGCTCATTTTTTTAAAATTTCTTATTCCTATGTCTCTCTGAGTGACTCTGTAATAGAGAAATAAAGAAAGAATGCTTTCAGGTATTTATCAAAATAGTCTCACTGCCTCCTACTTGCGTTCATCTCTCCTAATAGCACAATGTCCATGTACGAAAGAGTTAAAGAGCTACAAGGCTATTTTCAAAGGCTGAACAAAGACTGAATTGTTCAGTATTGCATAATTAATGTTACCCGTAGCTTTCAGGAGGCTGAAGTTAGGGTGGAAACCGTAGGTGAATCACACATGAAATGAGAAATTACTTAAAAATACAGGCAGAGTTACAGCTTGTATCAATGGTATATGCAGTCTAGCAACTGTATCGTCACAGGGCTAGCGAGAGCAGAGGGAATGCTACCCTGTGGGTGGTTAGCAGTTACAGGAATTAAATGGTGGAATAGCTGACTGCAGCTTTAGAAGTCCGGAAAGAGCAGTTGCAGCAAAAATACTGTCCAGCTTTTTGATAGAGGTAGTATCAGGATTTCACAGAAAACCTTGACAAATTCTTTCCATCAGTTTTGACTCTGAAGAAAGCAGTTGTAACAAAGGGCAGAATTTCTTCTGTTTCCCTGTTTTTTCTGTTGTAAGTTAATACCTTAATATGGAGCACTTATTTCATCTTTGCCTGTTAATTATAGGCACCTGGTACAGGAGTATTCTCTGTTGAGAATGTCCCTAATAATTCTATTAATGTTTCATTTTCTGATACTAGGTAACTTATGTTCTACTGCTGGTGCATTTCCTTTACTCCCTCTAAATTAATTTTGTTTCATGGCTGACTGATTTGTCATTCTTAGTCACTTCTTCTGTCACCAGTCTCTGGTACTCTCGCACACTATCTTTCTTGTTTGCCTTGATATAAGAGCTGATGTTCTCAGTCTAACTGCAGTTTCAATATTAGCTTCCTTGTTTGTTTTTCTGTCTTAATTTGGCCTTTTATAATCTCTGTGACACCACTGATCTGTATACTTTTTTTGCATTTTATTGGTTATTTTTATTCATTTCATTCTTCTGTGTCTATTGATTCTACATTTCAGTATTCCAATGTCTGCATCTGAAACAATTGCTCTTTTTCAGAGATTCAGTCCTATATCAGTTGTCTTCCTGTCCCAAGTTTCAAATCTGTTCCTATTTAGATATGGCTTCTATCATAGTCCATCTATAAAACATTTTGTTTGATCCAAGGAAGTTTACTTTGCCTCCACCTAAATGTTCAGTTTTGTGTTTTATGTGTATACACACACATTCAGATGTGATGATTGCTGAAGTATATTCTAAGAAATGAAAGTTATTAAACTCCTGTCATAGAAATGCAAAAAGATTGTTTCATTGGTGCTCCTGAACAAAGGAACAATTGTTACACAGCAGAAATGGGATTTGTCCTTTCTTGAAATATGGCCCCTTGACCACAGGGCTCTACAATTTTCTTTTCTCTCCTTTCTTCCTTTGCTGCTTCTCCTACTCAAAAAATGTTAACAAGTATTTTTTTCTCTTAGATTTCTTTTATCAAAACAGTTGAGGAGGTCAGTTTTAAATTTACTCATTTTTCTTCTTCCAGAAGTCTGGAATAACATGGTTACCACTTATTTTCATTATGTTAGTATTGTTATGTTTTCACCTGATATTTTTAGTCCTTTGTTTTAATATGTTATTGCAATGCTGTGACTGACTAGGATCTTGTGGTTCCTGGCTCTCAGTAGTACAATATAGTATGCCTTATATATAATCCATATTCCTATTCCCATGTATTTGAAAATCTGTAGGCAAATACTCATCTATCACAAAAAGCCCATGCTGTTTATCTTTGTACAGTCCCAAAGGTAGATGTAGTTCTCCAGGCACTGCTGCACATCAGGTGAATACGCTTTAATACTCCTGTTTTCTGTTTACTGTCCTTCAAAAGCAAAAGTTCACAAGTAGATCTAAGAAATATTTATTCAGGAAAAAACCTAGGTGAGAAAAGAGGGAAGGGAGAGAATAGATGGAATGTGTTTGATTTTAAGCAGAGAATGGCAGCCAGCTAAGCACTCAGAATAAAACCATAGAGACTCTTCCACCAACTCACCCATCCTTTCCTTTGTGATCTAAGGGTAATATATACAGAAAATAGAATTAAAGAGTTCTAGCTCTGCTGTACAGGTTCCAAGGAGTCAGAAGATGGCTCTTGAAGGTCACGAACAGACTAGACGTCATATGTAGGAGATGTGATTACTGGCTTAGCCCTACCTTTGAGATCCAGATATATAGCCCCGTCTGTGTAGCCCTAACATCTCTAAATGATAGAGGAATTAGGTTTATCAGATGCTGGTTTGCAAGCGTTGCAAATGTAAGGCTTTTTCTGATGTTATCCTGGATTAAGAGAGAGCTTTGTTTCTTTCCAGATACAGTCCGAACATTAAGTAATGCAGAGGAATACCTCGACGATGAAGACTCCGATTAGCTTTTTTCATTCAGCCTAAAGAACTATAAAGTTTATTTTTTAAAAGTGTTCTTACATTTTGTTCTAAATTACCTCAAAGCTTAGGTGTGTTTGAAGGAATGAGGGAAGATGTATATTGAATATACCACATATATCTTTAGAAGAGCTATCTGAAGCTGAATAAACATTTTAAAAGTATATTGCTTCTTCCTGTGAATTAAAGAGAACTAAAAAATAAATTGAGCCACTTTCAAGCTTCCCTGCAGAGTTAAAAAATAAGTACTTCCTTCAGATTGCTCAAGTAACTGCAGCCAAATATTATACGCTACTGAGGGATACTTCCTTACTGTGGTGGTAAGAAAATGTTACAAATATTTGAGACACAATCTCATTTTCAGTTTTTGTTGCTAACTTCCGTATTAGCAACTTTGACAGATTCAGTCCAACAGAGCAGTCTGTGATACTAAAAAAAAGAAAAAAAAAAGAAAAAAAAGAAAAAGAAGGCATAAAAAGCTCTTGTGAAAGATTGGGGATAAATGAAAAGCTCTTGTGAAACATTGGGGATAAATGAAAATCACACTAAGTATTTTAGAGATTAAAAGAAGTCTAGAGCACTCTAAGATCCTACTTTTAAAAGTATATTGGACCAGATTTTTGTATTTTTATTTTCCTGGAAAGAACTAGATACAGGTAAAGTCTGTTAAATGAGCACTTACCAAAGAAGGCAGCGTTTGATATACCAGGACTGTGTGAGGTGGAAGCATCACACAAATAGTCATCTGCAGATACAATTCTAAACTGTTTTAAGTGTTAAAACCATAGAACGAGTCTTGTAGCCCTATGGAATACTCTGGGTGACTGAACAGTGATGTTTTAGTTTGTGTGAACTTGAAGATCCTAGAGGGGAAAAAATAAAAACCAAAGCCACCAAGTTGTTCTCTCTAGCTTTCATTAGAACAGTTGTTGAACATGACTCATAGTAGACAGAGACTGTCCTGCTTCACATTTTATCAGCCAGCTATTTTTACTAGCTCAGACTTTTACCACAGTCAAGCCACATGTTATGCTGCATGTTGTTGCATGCATGATGCAATTTCATAGTGCAAGCAAAAAAGGACCTGTAATAAGAGGCTAGAGAGGCAAGAAAGTTCATATATCTGCCACATGAGTCTTTTTCCTGCATAAAAGCAGCTCATGAGGTTAAAATTCTTCAATGTCACAGGATGTGGAGAGAATGGCTCTTCCCAAGTCACTGTTTTGTCTGTCAAGCTTTGGAGGCAGAGTCTGTGTTCATAAATAACACTTAATATGATGTCTTCTGCTGCCATGGGTTCAATGTCCTACAAGTTAATTGCAGCATTTGATTTGCAAATTTAATGTTACGCTCATTGTCTTGTGGAATTAGCTGCTGCCAGAAGACCCTGTGTTCTTCTGCAGACAGATCTAGGTGCTGCAAGGGAAGAATGGTGACAGAAGCACAAGCTGGGCCCAAAGATTGCCTGTGAAATCCTTACTGGAATGTCCTGAAGAAGGCACATTTACATCACAAGGCAGCTAGCTAGTGCTGTAATTTGTTTCTAGGACCAAAATTACTGCTTTTTTTCCAAAACTTTGTTTTTTCTCATGCAACTGTCTACTTATCGTGTGAAATACAAATCACTGTGAAAACTTTCAGGCAATAAACTGCTTTTTTCCTAATTCTGGCAGTTAAGTTTTGATTTTAAAAAACCCAGCAAAACTCTTACAGCTAGAAGGAATTACAGCTGCAGTAAGATGATACAATATCTTACTAGTTATGCAAACCTACTTATTCCCCTTACTTTTCTCCAACATGTGTGTCACTACAGGCTCTTGGATAAATTTAAGACTCTTTCCAAGGACAGCTGCATTCAGGTTTGTAACAAGAAGAAAAATAGGTTTTTAAGAGCAGCAGCAAAATGAAAGTTGTCAAGCTCGTGGTGTCTCCTAAATGCACATTGAAGGATATTCTGTCTTGTGTGCATCTGGTTGAATGACATGTGTGCCTTTCCATTGAAAATCAGCTGTGTTCCAGTTAGAAGTGCTGTGCTGTTCAGGGATAGAAATTGTTCTCATTTATTTGAAGCTTTTTCAAACTAAACCAGTAAATTTTCTGTCTGCCTCATCAGAAATCATATGCTTAATCCCTGTTTTCTAGAAAAGAAAATGGGACATTTCTTTGAACTGTTTTTAGTATAGTTCCTAGACAGTCCGTGTGGATAATCTTCAAGTTATTACACTGTTTCACCTGGCTGAATTCAGGTCTTCCGTGTCCCATCACCTGAAATGTAATTTGCTTAAAACTGTTAAGGTCACACTAGATGTTTAAACGCAGTGGCCCATTTTCTAACACACTCTTCAGCTTAGAACCCTACCTGCCCCCTAAATCCTAATTTCTGAAGATAGCATTGTGTTTCTTGTGTTTGAGTTTTATATCAAGGATCAAAGATTGCTGAAAGTAAGTTAGCTTGACCTTGTGATCATTTCAGTTCTGTGCTACCAAGTCAGGTGTCTGAGCATGCAGCATGCATCACTGAATTAAAGGTTTGTTTTCAGCTGTTGCCACCTTCTAAGGAAGCCATTGAAATAGAACACAGAGCAGAGTAAAAAGTAACAGGTCATCAATCTGCTGCTTCTTGGGACGGACATAAGCTGAATTTACAAGAAGTGTTTCAGGACAATGTTAGTCATACTGTGCTTTGATTGTATCAGGAGAAACAAGCAGAAATGGTTTTGAAGAACTTGAAACAGGATTCTTCAAAAGAAATTAATTTGGTATCAAATTAATGTGATGCAAAATCAGTATCCTCATTTGCTAAACAAGTGAAAAGGCAACAGCTGGGTTTTAAAGCTGCACAATAAAAAAAGAAGTGGAGAAGCTAAAAATAAGAGAACAGTACAAAAGCAGTTCAGGAAAATGTAACTTTACATCACAGATTCTGGGGCAGAATTTGGACTGGTGGTATTATCTGCCTGCGACAGAGAAAAAACTACCAAGTACCCTTCTACCCGATGCCTGCTGCTTCCCAGCTGGTAACTGATGCTGATGTGCCCAGTCTGCAGCCTCTCCTAGAAAGCTGCGCTGTGCTTTGCCCTTCTACCAAGCTTAGCAGCCTTCCTTTGGGCTCTGTAGAGCAGGTCTGTAGCACAACACAAAACTGCTGGAAGAGATACTTCTGTGAGACAATCTTCTACTGACCCATGAGCAGCGTCCCTGGAAAAATCAGTGTGGTGCGGCCAGTGTTCATCCTCTCGGTACAGAAGCAGGGGCCGTTTCCTGTGGTTGTGGGCAATTCCTGAGGTCAGAGGCTGAGGAGCCTGTTGCAAAGATAACAGTAATTAGATGGGTTTTTATAGTCTACGTAGAACAGCACAGATCTTGGCAGGGTACCAGTGCTCAGCTGTCCCACATGCATTAAGTTTATGGAGCCAGGAAAGGGTCCATAATTTACCCTGTTCTTAGAGCTTTCACTGAAATCATGAAGCACACATCAGAGAATCTATATCTGTTTTCCACCACCACTTGGGAGCTTTTTCGTACAGAGGTGGATTATTCGGAATATATGCTATTTCTTAGCATGAAAATCTGTATTTCTTCTTCCTCTTCTTCCTTTCCTCTCTGACTCTTAACTTAAAGGGCTTTAGCGAGATTTAACATAAAACAGGTGTGAAGATATAAATTACCGCAAGCAAATTGGACATTTAAAAGTTTATATTATAATGATATTTCTGATTTGAAGGTCTGAAGCAAGTCTCTGAAAACCAGTGAAGATACATGGGAAGTGGAAGACCTGTGTCTTTAACTTCAGCACAATCTATTTTTGTTTTCTTGATTTGTGTTGCTTAATATACTATATTTTTGCTCAAGCTTTACTGCAGTCACAGCTCCAGTTGACTTCATGTCTACATGGACATACTGAAATTAATCCTTAACCCTCTTTGGAGATGTTCAATGTAAAATTAGAATTAAATCCTCAAAATTTACATCCTATTTTAATGTGTCTTTCCTGTTCAGCAGACTTCTATAACGCACGTAATTCCAGAGTGATAGTCATTTACCTCAGGCTTTTTTAATTGAAAATTCTAATTTTATCATCTCATATAATTTCCCTAACATAGGTAAAGTTATAGCACATCTCACATAATCTAAAATTCATGGAAGAGTAGTACATTTCCTTCTCAGTCCATCAATTTTTACTTCTCTACAAAAACTAATTTATGCTTTTCCCTAAGATTTCTGTTTAAGCTATTTTGGTAGAAAATCTCACGGACATTTGACCTTCTACTGCCTAGCTATGAGTTTAAAACAGAAGAGGAACAAAGAAACAAAAATGTATCTGGACTACATGCAGTGACGCTGAAAGCAAGAGCAGTAAATGTTTTGTTAATGAATGTGTGAGAGGCAGGTTGAGTAGCAGGCATTATACTTAAAGAGAAACTTACATAGATTGATTAAAGCCCTGAGCTAGCATTTACTTTGGTTTTAACAACTCCCATCTAATCAGAGAAGGTGGCCAATTCAGTTATAGTGCTCTAAGTACTTTTCTAAAAAATAGTTTCCACATGGAGTTACAGTGCTGGAAAGTCATGGAGTAATCAAAATGCTTCCAAATTTCATCCTGCTAAAAGACTATAGAGTGCTCTCTAGTCAGACACGAATAATTCAAATGCATGAACCACTGCAGAGGCTGAACCACTGCAAATAGTTTTGCATCCATAGGAAGATCTCTGAAGAGGAACAGTTTACGTATGCTTCTTCCAACTAGTGCTGAAAATGCTTGAATTACTTCAGTAGGTGTGACAAGGTCTTTCAAGTTAAATGAGTTTGAAATGAAAAACCATTGTTACACAGGAGAAGATAGGTTGAAAGGGTCTGGTGATGCTTATATTTAACAAGGAGTCAGTTCCATTGAGTTTTACCCAAAGCCAGGCTACACCAGACACAGCTTCAGCAATTTTCTTACCACTTACAAATTCTGGTTTTACTTGTATTATTTTAAGGAGACTCCAGTTTAGTGTTACGTTGCCATTT